TCTTCCGCTCTTGATTTGTCCACCTATTCGAGTCTTTGTCATTGGAAGTGTTTCGGAAGCTGACGTTTGACGGTTTGACGCTGGAACTCAAAACTACAGTCATTAAGCAAATATTGATAGAAAAAGAATGTGTGAAATTTTAACTTCAAGTCCAATAGGAGAAGAAGGGGGGTGGAAAATTCATAGAAGACATCAATATACTGGTACCTTGGATGGGGACCAAATTTCCTAAGAACAGTCCGAACGACCAGAAAAAGGGGCAAGAGAAAGAGAAAGAGAAAGAGAGAGAGTGGACACCTGGAGATTGACACCATTCGCCAATTTTCGCCACGAGAGTGATGGACATTGGCCTCGCCCCACACCAACACCAATGGAGTGCTGCTCCTATGGTAGATAACCCACCAGGAGGTTGGAGCAGTGCAAAGTATAATCAGGGTTGTTATTTCAAACATGAGCGACAAAGAGCGGGACTTGCATAGGGAAGGGTTGACGTACGACTGTGTTGGACCCTGATATGCAAAAAATAATTGAGGGGGTAGGCATGAGGTACGTGGAGAGTACGTATGTATTGCTAGTCAAGGGAAAGCTGTGCGGGTACGGAGTACTGATACTTTACCCGTACTGTCTATACGAAACTGGACGTCCATCGTAGAGATCAAAATGAATTCTGCATGTAACAATGGTACGAAGACTGTACAGTACGCGTAGTCACTTTATCGATCTGTTCATGTCCACCGCACTTTTTCGCCTCCAGTCTCCACCATGTCCTCCACTGTTTGCCCGGCTAGAACTCGAAACGGACGAAACCAACCGTCAGAATCAAATGGTAGCGTTTCAACTGCCGTCTGGTCGTCGAGTAAATTAATCCTCTGGAGTAAAGTTCTTCGTAACCAATTTTAAAACAGAAAAGATCAAATAAACGATATTAATAAAAAAAAAAAAAGATGGAGAAAAATAAAAGAGAAAAGTAAACCAAAAAATTATTAGCCCATGTCAGTTACCTGGTGGTACCTGTATCGTTAGTCATGCTCTCTCGTTACATTCTTTTTTTCCCCTTCCTCTTTCTTTTTTTGTTAACCATTACTATTAATATCTATACTACTGCCACTACTATGAAATGGCTGGTACTGTCCACTTCTTCACATGTTGTATAGTATGCGAGAGAAATAAGATATGTATGGCAGTATGTACCATGTAGTACTTGATGTATGGCTGGGAGGGAACAGAAGGCGTGTGCTGCATGCAGTTGCATGCCTTAAGGGACACTATGTCCGGTAAGCGTTGACCTTGGACCGGGTCTTAAGACGGGAGTCTAAGTGCAAGCTTGCGCTTCCCTCAGCGAACGACATATCTTATCCCGGCCCACGATCTCTCGTTTCTTTTCGTTGATGCGGATCCCCGACCCTCTCTTCCCTGTTCTTTGCCTCGTCCTGCCCCCTTAAAATAAAATAAATAATCTCTCCAAATAAATCAACCCGTGCCGCGTTCTCGCAACGCTTACCGACGAAAAAGCAAATCACAGCTCATCCGCAGGGTAAGGAAAAAAAAACGTATACTTACTACGTATTTCGCTCCCAACCTTTTCTCTTTCTCCTCCCTCCCCCCTTCTTCTCCCATGCTTCCCATCTCTCTTTCGTGAGCGCCAAGTTTGTCTCTTTGCATCTCTTTTCTTATTCTTCAGTTCAGGCCAACTCTTGTCCCACTCGTTCATTCATTCACGCTATTCTTCGCTTCTTCTTGGACTAGACTTATTCCTTTCTTTCCAGTTTTCCTGTCGTTTCATCTTCACCCGTGGCCTCCGCGCAGTTTAGCCAAAGCAGCCTTCTACGGCCGCGACCCTTCGAGTTCCAACGCTTTCTATCAGACCAACGTCGTATCTTGAAAATGAGCGCCGAAGGAGAAAAGGCCAGAACCTCTGGCGAGGTCTCTCGCCCGGAGCCTACCCTGCCTACTGTTAACCCAGCCGCTGAGAGGGCAGAGCCTCCCAAGCCTGCCTTCCACCCCGCGGTTTATGTGACGTGAGTGCACGGCCTAGGAAACCTGGTCTCGCACAAGATGTATTTACTAATGTGCTCGCAGCGTTTGGATTACTTTGAGTTCCAGCGTCATTCTGTTCAACAAGCACATCCTCGATTATGCTCAGTTCCGTAAGTACACTCCTGAGATTTGTGACTACAGAAAACGAGGATAGTTCTAACGTCTTTTGTTATGCAGGCTTCCGTAAGCTTCATCTACTGAATCACTTTATTGCAACGGCATCCTAACATCGTGGCAGCTATTATCCTTACCACATGGCATTTGGCATTCGCAACCTTCATGACCCAAATTCTCGCCCGCACTACCACCTTGCTCGATGGCCGGAAAACTGTTAAGATGACTGGCCGAGTTTATCTCCGCGCTATCGTCCCTATCGGTCTTTTCTTCAGCTTGAGTTTGATTTGCGGCAATGTGACCTACTTGTACCTAAGTGTTGCGTTCATTCAAATGCTTAAGGTGCGTTTGTCTCGATCACAAAAGCATTGTTCGTCACTCATAATAATATCTAGGCTACGACTCCTGTCGCCGTGCTCTTCGCCACCTGGGGAATGGGAATGGCCCCTGTGAACTACAAGGTGCTCATGAACGTTTCCCTGATCGTCATTGGTGTCATTATTGCATCTTTCGGTGAGATCAAGTTCGTCCTCACCGGATTCCTCTTCCAGATCGGTGGTATCATTTTCGAGGCCACTCGTCTGGTCATGGTGCAGCGCCTGCTTAGCTCCGCCGAGTACAAGATGGACCCTCTGGTTTCCCTGTACTACTTTGCTCCCGTTTGCGCTGTGATGAACGGTGTCACTGCTCTGTTCATGGAGGTCCCTTATGTTACCATGGACCACGTTTACCGCGTTGGTGTCTGGACTCTGTTGCTGAACGCTGTTATTGCTTTCCTGTTGAACGTTTCGGTTGTCTTCCTGGTAAGAATCAGCCTTGTTGATAGTATTTGTGTCTAAACTAACTGATTGGCTACAGATTGGAAAGACCTCCTCCCTCGTTATGACCCTGTGCGGTGTTCTGAAGGATATCCTCCTGGTCGTTGCGTCGATGATGATCTGGCAGACCCCTGTCACCGGTACCCAGTTCTTCGGTTACTCCATTGCCCTCATTGGCCTCGTCTACTACAAGCTCGGTGGTGATAAGATCAAGGAATACACCGGTCAGGCCAACCGTGCCTGGGCCGAGTACGGTGCCAACCACCCCGCCAAGCGCAAGTCCATCATCATCGGTGCTATTGTCCTCATCTTCTTCCTGTTGGCTGGATCCATGGCACCCAGCTATGCTGGCGGCTCTGTTGACAGAGTTAAGGGCTTGCTTGGTGGCGCCACTGCTGGGAACGCGTAAAGGCGCCGCCTGATTTTTTGTGAAGTGTTCTGTCCCAGACAGATACGGAGTGGATGTATCCTGAACACGGAGCGGCTTCAGGTGCCATGTGAAACTGAACGACACAGACTTACCAACCTTCCTTTTACCTATTTATACCACTATTTACACAGTGGGCCTCACGATAAAGCTTATGGCCCGCAGCTTAAAAGATAATGCTCGTCAGCTGCAGTAGTCCTGTGGGATGGATACCCGGAGTGCCAGGAGGTACGGCCACATGCAGGGAATGCAGCTTGTGCCTGATGAACACTGGATGTCATCTCGCGGGGTTGTGATATGACTTGGGGATCTCGTTCGGGAGGTCCCTACTTTTTGTTGTTTACGGTGTCGATCCTTCTTCGGATTCCATTGTATTGCTTGAGATTTGATGAACATTTGTGTCACGTTAAACTCGCACGAGGTTCTGGTGTCGGGATATTGCTTTTATCTAGCTCTTGATATTGTTCCGCATCCCTTCTTGTGACTATAGATTTATATTTTCTACTTCTTCTGACAAAATAGATTTGATTGAAATATTCCCAGTGCGTTGCAGTTGTGGTTGTTCAGATCGAGCAGGTGGTGGTACGTCGCACGGAAGGATGGCACGGAACTCCGGACTCGCTTGAGGACGACGGGAGGTGCCTGAGCGTTCCAATGGCCATGCGCCGTGCTTCCTCAGGCCACACATGCAAGGCTTCCAGGCTTTCCCAAATCGTCATTGACTTGCCCAGGCCAAGTGGAGTAACCGTTCGATCCAATTGGCAAGGAAGCTCCTCATACTGCAGGCCCACCCGTGTCAGATTGACGAATGGGGGATGCGAAAAAGGTTGACAGGGTTCCTGGAACGACCGGACGCGCGGACGGGGCTTGCGAAACGAGCCAATCGGGGGAGAGTTGAAGGTCAGGGTTCCACAGGGTGGTTGCCCAGAGCAATGGGCCAATCGTCCAATAATGGTGGCATCCTTGCTGGTCGATCTGGAGTCGGTGGAGAAGACTAGCCGTACAGTACGGTATGGTATGCAGCCACCGCGCATTGCAGGAAAATGGCCGACAAGGCGTGTATGGAACGGTAACGAGGCGAACAAATCCTTTCTCCGCATCGCATCCAAAAAAGAAGCTCCGAAACGTCCAAGCAAATCATCTGCTTCCCGTCAGCCTCTTTTTCACGCGTTTTTCTTTCTCTCGCTTGCTACTCCTTCCATCCCGTGGTTCGCTGTTGGCTCCTCATCCTCTCTCGTGTTGTTCCCTTCCCTGCATCTTCTCTCCACCCTTCCCTTCCTTTCCTTTCTTTCCCTTCTCTTCTTCCTTTCCTTCCTCCTCTCCTCATTCTCATTGTCTCTCTTCTCTTCCATCGTCACATCCCCATCCATTCCTCCTCCTTGCTCGACCATTACACCTTATATCATCTCATTGGATATCGACCCTCCTGTTCTGGTTCGCAACCTCACCATCCGTTGCGCTAACCTCGTCGATCTTCTTCTCACGGCTTGGATCTCGTGATCCACAGGTTGCTCTATCTTGTTAGTTCTAGCTCACTTTGACAAAACAGATCGGGTTCTCTTTCTTGTAGTTGCCTCCGATTCTATCAGCTCTCTCACACCACCATGTGTCCGATGATGCTCAACAGCCTTTCCGATGGCCCTGCCATGATCCTGTCCCCTCCCCAGGAACACGCCTTCCTTCAGTTCCCTCGCCACTCTAAGCTTGATGTCGTCTCCCAAAACTCAGGCTCGTTTTTCTCGAGTGGCCCAAGCACCTCATTTGGTGCAAAGCTCGCTGCATCCGGGCCTGTCGGTGGAAAGCCATCGCGCAAAAGATCGCGTGACGAAGCGGCTTTTGAAGAAGCTATGAATGCCCCCAGCGTACCCTCCATGCCCGCGCCGGCTCCTGCAAAGAAAGAGGAGCCCATCTATGGAGAAGGCATGGTTCTTCTGAATCCAAGAACCGGGCTGGCTATCTCCGCAGAAACCCAGACAGGCACCTGGTACGAAGAAACGCTGGAGAGCAGTGCTGCTTCTGCACCGTCTGCCTCATCGCATTCTCAGGCGTTTCAATCCAGTCAGTCGAATATCTCTGGCCGGAAGTCTCAACGCCTTGATCCCTCCGCTCCCAGACTCGATGATATCGCGCTCTCGTCAGTGCAGCGACTGCAGGACAGCGGCAAAGATGACAACCGCCGCCTCTTCGACGCCACAAATCGCTCGCCTGATGAGCCGCTGGTTGACGACGCCACCCGCCTTCTTGGTATCAGCTGGCAACGTATTACATTCGACGGCGATGGCGACATGGCAGCCGCAGTGCGCGGCTGGAAGAAATACATCGACAAACAATATTCTGCGTATCTCCTAGACTCTCAAATACTTATGAAGAATCGAGCTTTGAACGCTTACCTCGTGGCTGCACGACCTGTCACGCCTTTTGGACCAGCCAACTCCAGCGCTTTTTTCTTGTTCAATGACGATCTCACCCAGGCTCAGCTGGTGGCATCCGCTTGGGATACCTGCATTCAAAACCTCCGATCGAATCCCATTGTCTTCGAAGGGACTCAGATCCTGAATGCCGCACACCGATCAGTCAATAGTGCATCCCTTCAAACGCAGAATATCCTCGGCGCAAACCCCGCGAACGCCGGCCTTCCTCTCTTACAAACCCTCTCGGCACAGCCCGTCAGCAATGGCGTGAGCGTTGGGCTGAACGGCGGCGTAGGAATGGGGACGGGCATGGACATCGACGCGTAAAATCTCGACACGGGCTTCGACCGCGCGCCCGCGCGCGCGACAAAAAGTTTCGACGAGTTTTGCTCACATATTTCGCTTCGTATCTAACAGACTTTTCGGCACAGATATTTTCTCATTGTCATTTGGGTTCTTCGGCAAAACGTAATCATCCGGTATCGGGAAATTGGTGATATCATTTTCTGTTCTTCCAAGTTTTTAGGGCGCAAAAGGTGGTATTCACTTGCGGTGTTCGCTCATGGTTTGTCATTTCGATTTTCTTTCTTCATATTCACATTGTGTTCATAATTTCGATCCATCATTGTGAAAGATATCATAAGAGATCAACAAGAAATAAACATATTTAAGAAAAGACTGAACATGAAAGAAAAGCAGATCCTTTTAGTAGAATTAAAACCCCCACTAGTAGTCTGATCAGGCAGGAGTGACAACTCATTCGGGCATCCACTCAAGTAAACCTAAGTTGCCCTACGCACTCCACTACACGCCATATAGTTGTACTACGCGCTACTAGTATCCTACCTGTGGAGGGGCTAACAAAGGCAAAAAAAAAAATAATAATTTAGTCAATAAAAATAAAATCGAAGAGAGAAACGTACAAACAAAGAAAGGCAAAAAGGCCAACCAACCCTAGGTAAATGACAACAACAAAAATGAGTAAAACTGCAATGGTCAGGTACCATGATCAGTATTCATAGAGTGAATTGCTTTATTTATGATTTTTTATATTATTTTAGCTTGCTAGCTAAGACTTCAAGTGCCCGTATATACTACTGTTAGAGAGCTTCGAGTTGAATGGAGTTGGCTATTTGTAGGGGTTGAGGAATACGTGGATATATATTTTTTGGTTGAAGTATTTCTGTACGACTTGGAGTCTGGGATACTATCTGGGGTCGAATCGTCTCTCTAGTATTCTTGTGAACATATATTTTGTTTTACACCGTTCAATGTACGGATACTTATAAAATATATTATGTTGCTTTCTACTCCGTATCTGATCAGAACAGTTGGGTGGCCGTGGGTCTAATGAATAATAACAATCGTATTGAGAGGAGAGATCAACGTACTGATAGACTAGACTAAGTGCAGATCCGGATAACTGTCATATTTCCCCATTTGTTTCGATGAACATCCTCCTCAACATTCCCGCTACGTGCATTGCTAAACTACATAACTATATAACTATATAGGATATTTTAAGCGCTATAAGTATATAACTCCAGACCCCATCTATTAACCCATAATCTTAGACTCATCGTAGCAAACACTCATGATAAGATCCATGTACCCTATTCCTTTAGTGTTTCCACACTGGTGGTGACAACAATAGGTTCCTTCCACTCTTCCGACGAGTCCAGCGATTGTGGGCTCTTATGCATGAACAGGGAATCGATCTCCTCGAGACTGAGGTTGGCAGTTTCAGGGTAGAAAAAATAGAGAAGCTAAGCATGCTCGTTAGGTATTATGGAAGAGACGGCTGCGCACGATTTTTGCTCACCGGTACGAAGACAAGATTGAAACACATGAAAATCAGGTAGCCCTTCCATGCAAGGTCGTTGATCAACGTTGGTCCGATCATGGCCACAAAGAAATTCCACAGCCAATTTGCCGAGACTCCGAGAGCTTGGCTATTTTGGGAGTATTCAGTTAGCTTTGCACAAATTCCGCAGGGGCCACTGGTTGGAATGAAGCTATTATGCCTACCCTTTCGCTCGGACGTGTAGGGGGAGAATCTCCGGCCCGTACACCCATGGTATGCAGTTAATGGACGCACCAAAGATGAGCATAAATAAGAAGAAAAACGGCACTGATGCGGTAGCTGCTGCTTTCTCCATGGAGGTGCCTGTTGAGAATTAGCCAAAAATAAGCTCTCTGCTCCTCTACCCAGCCATATCACAAGGGGGCTGACCTACCCTTGAAAGACAAAAGAATGGAGATCATCATCATGCAAAGAAATAGTCCGAAAGATCCCCACATCATCGGTTTTTTTCGACCCAGTCGATCGGAGTAGAATGTGGGATAGAACGAGCCTTGTGTAACGGGATCAGCAGACCTTCTCGATAAGCAGTGTTCAAGAGGAATGCTCGGTTACCTATGACAAACATAACCTGAATAACGCCTCCGAGCAGTAGGCTCAACTCCTTGTCAAGGCCCACATTGGTCTCCAACACTGCCATCCTTAGTGAAATTCAAGTTGCATGGGCATGATCCCTACCTGTCGTGACATATGTCTGGTTGAGAATCAGTTTCTGCTGGGGTAAAACAATATTATCGGCTTCACTACTTACGACTATGATGTTGACTCCTCCCATTTGGTTCATAAATTGCAACCCGTAGGCCAGGAGCACGCGTCTGCCCGTGTGTAGTTCATCTTTTTTGAAGATCTGGGACCACCTGTATTCTCCGCGGAGGATATCCAGCTGGATAGCTTTGGTTATCCCTTGTGACTCCTCAATTATCTTTGGGTCGTTCGCAGTGCAATCATGGAAGTCACAAAGGACCTGCAAGCCTTCCCCTCCACGACCTCGCCGGTATAGCCATCGAGGACTCTCTGGTAGCCTGTTTATACGTGAGATACGTGTTCAGCAGCATATACATGTAGACGTGAGGTGGGATGAACACTCACCCGACGACCATAACCGTCACAATGAGAGCAAAGATGATCTGGCAGGCGATTGGTAGCCGCCAATTTACGGGTCCTTCAACATAGCTCATCCCGTAGTCGAACCAATAGGCAACCACAATGCCTACCCCAACGGCAAGAGGTTGGCTACATACATACATTCCTCGTTTCCGTGCGTCGCACAGTTCCGATTGGTACACTGGCACAGTACTGGTAAATATCCCTGTGCCGATTCCAGTAAAGAATCGCGACGCCAGCAACTGCGCCGTGGAAAACGCGCAGGTTTGTGCAATCGCCCCAGCCTGGATGGAATGTTATCTGAGCGGTCATTCTGTCAATCTGAACGTTGCAAGTGCAGACATACCACAATCCAAGTCATCGAGAACCACATTGTCCTTCGAAACCCTAGCCTATCTCCAATCATGAAACACACTCCCGTCCCGAGGAAGCAACCTAGGTTGTAGATCCCGACTATGATCCCAATGGTCGCTGAGCCTGGGTGATGTACAACGCTGAGAAAGTCTTCATTCCCCACGATCCCGGAAAATACACCCTGATTGTAACCTACAAATGACCAACGCTGAAGTTAGCTTGCTGCATGCTGCAGTACAACAGTGGGTTTGAGGTCTCGCACCAAATAAGACAAACGATATCTGGCAGGTGAGCATAATAGCCATCCGAAGGCTCAACCCTCGACCGTACATGTTAAGCTTCACCATGTTGCGAAGGAGGACACAGGGACAAGCTTGAGACAGGGTAACCGAAGAGTAAGGAGGGTAGCTGTCCGAAGGAGTTTATATAGAGAAATTAGTATGCTTCAGTTTGTCAATCAGCATGCAAACACGTTGAGCTGCATGTAATCTGTGGTGGATCCAAGCATATGCTATTGGTGACGAAAGAGCCTCAGTGCAGGATGCACCCTTGCCCACTATAGATTGATATTTCTCAATATCAAAAGTCCATACTAACCTTTTGTAGACGCGTGCAGGAGGGGCGTTCCATACCTGCCGGAGAAATTCCGCTCCTGATTTCTTAATAGGGCAAAGAGAGCAGGGAGAGTCAGCCGGTAATATGGCAGCATTTGACAATTCTCACTGCTTGATCACGATTCATGCATTCTGGGCTGCGGAGCAGCTACCCCTCGGCATTCCCAATGATCAGCAGATTCGGGGTCTGGACTGGAAAGTCTCGAAGCCTGTGCATAAACCCAACTTGCAGGATGTGGTGGGTTCCACTGGATATCACTTCCGGGTTCAACTTGAGGTGCACCGCCGCTACACAGAGCAAGCTCCTTTCCGAAGGAGAATGCATAACTCTCGTAAACTCTACCCTAGAGCTATGACCTCGGCCGAGAGCATTAGAATCGCGCCTCTGGGAGGGCTGTTACATCACAAACTGCCCCTTGCCTGATGGTACGGCAGCCAAGCGCATCCATGAAGTGGGTGGGGGAGGGTTAGCCTTCTACCTAGATGACACTGGTGGTGATATAGCAAGCATACTTAGTAGTACGTTAATGGGATGCATGTTGGCTCCCTTAGCTGGATCCAGAGAAGAGTGAACATGGGGTACAGGGGAGGGGAGTCAGTCTACGGCAACAACGATGGTAGTGGCGACTGTGGCAATTGTGATATGGAAGAAGCTTGAACTTGGAATGAAGCTGTGACCATGAGTGACTCTTGGGAAGCTGACGATCACACGTGATGGGTAACCGGAATGGCAGTTCCGAGTTAGAAAGGGAAGGAGTCGGGGGATTTCGTGCATGGTCACGGTTAGAGATGTGGACCTTGACGGAGGGCATGTTGCTCTGCCTTGCTCTTCCTTGATCCTCCGAATATCCCTAGGTTCTTCACGACGGGAAGTCGCTCATGATCAGACACGGAGGAACGGTATCATCGTGATATTCAAGGTTAACCAAAGTCTAGATTGTCACTTCTCGCATCCCAAGGTATCTATCCTATTCGCTATGCCTGGTATTAAACTTTAAAACTAAAGCTAGTCACACTAATCACTGTCATAGTAGTCGCTTCCCTCGTCATAGTAATCGCCGTACTGTCCTGCGAAAGCAGCATCCACACCATCGGGATCTTCCTCATCGTCGTCGTACTCATCATCCGGTTCCTCATCCGAATAGCCGTTCTTGTCATCGGTGGCAGGCTCCGCGGCATTTTCCTTAAGGTCCGCCTGACCAGTCTTATCTGTTGTGACACCGGTTTGCTGAGTATGTTCAGTGACACTACGCGCGGGAACGGACGTTGGAGCCGGGGAGCCAGGGGGGTTAGCGCGAGTTGATGGAGTCACTAGTCGCGCGCGTCTCGAGATACCCTCTGGTTCAACACTGACGCTACGCCGAGATGCCACACTCTGACTGCGGCTCATTCTC